TAGTAGTCCAGTAATGATGTCATAGAACACTCTCTTAAAGTGACAGTACAGGTAGTAGTGTTTACCAAAATAAACAAAATAATACAATCCTTAAAATATAACAACAACAACAAAAAAAGGATTCTTCAGTGTTAATCAGGATTTGGTGAAATTTCAAACATTATAAAAATAAATAAAAGCACATTTTCTAAACTTGTTACAGAAGCAAGATCAAGTTTGTACACAAAAAGTATCACAGTTCCACTGGCATCAAAAGAGTCAAGTAATGTTACCTCTTCTGGCTTTTACAACAGCATGGCGCATCAATGATTGGTCTTCCACTTCTCATTTTTTTTAATTTTTATTTTTATTTATTACAGGTTGTCCCAACAACCAAAATGAATCCCTGTTTTTAGTGATGGTGGAAACTTCATACAACATTCCAGGATTTTTTTGGTCATAACTAAACTGTACCCCAACTTCAGAGTTGAAAGCTTTTGACATATGAACCCCGTACTGAAAGTCAATCTGCAGCATTTCTAGACCAGTTCAAAATAAATTTAAATAAGACATGTTGTGACATCTTTGCTAATAATGAGGTGATCTGATTATAAGAGTTCTACATTTAAGCAAATGTTCTATATCCCATGTGTAGGTAAAAGTTTCAGGGAAGAGCAGTGTGAGAAATACAACAGCCCTAACTACCTGGACTACAATGGAAATGTCAAACAATGGATCCCAAAGTATGCAGGAGTTTCCCCCAGAGACCGCTGTAAGCTGTTCTGCAGGGCAAGGGGCAGCAGTGAGTTTAAAGTATTTGAATCAAAGGTACAGTATCTACATGGAACTGCACAACACAAGTGAAATATCAATTCGGTTAGATTTTTTGAGATAAAATAATTGTGCAACATATTTTTTTATATAATTTGCTATCAGATATTTTTTTAAGTAGTGATTTATTTCACAGTATAGATCTAGTCTGCATTAAAGTCCTTTATTGTAATGTTGGGAAACTTTTGGGGATCTTCTGAAAAATGTTACTGATTCAGTAGCTGTTTCATTAGCTTTCTGCTCTCATTTATACCTTTAACTGGGAAGGTTATAATGGGATCTAAGCTTGGATGTTTATTTTTTTTACCTGAATTCACTGACAAAATCTTGGAGTTAAAACTATCCTGAAAGCTTATGTATGTAACTTTTATAAAAGTATGTTTTTTTACATATTTGTCAACTATGTCATGACAGTAGACTATATGGCAGATCATCTGTGACAGCTGCAGAAATGCATTGCTCTGTCAGAAACGTCCACTCAGAGCCAGGAGGAGGGTCTTAGCGCTGTCAATCAACCTTGTGTACTCCTTGCTCAATGTGCTAATGGCTGAGAAACAACTAACAGTTTCAGGAAACTGTTTATTTATCATAATCAGTGGCCAAGCTAACTATCCAGAGAACAAGAAGGAGGGTGTGAGCAACATGGCTGGATTTCTGCCTCCACATGCCAGAGGAGGCAGAATTGCTAAATTTTTTTTACAGATTATCTGTCTCATTAGTGAAAAGTTTAACGAGATTATCTTCCCTGTATCGTTGCTAAGTTTTTTTTTGTTTGTTTGTTGTTGTTTTTTATAATAAAAATGCGGTTTTATTTGAATGCTGCTGGTGCATTACATTTATAATGATACCTGTGCAATTTCTCTCCGCGCCCCAGCAGGTGATTGACGGGACAACCTGTGGCCCTGACACCACATCAGTGTGCGTTCAAGGCCAGTGTGTGAAAGCAGGATGCGACCAGGTGATAGGATCCAACAAGAGGGTGGATAAGTGTGGAGAGTGTGGAGGAAATGGGCTCAGCTGCAGAAAGATAACAGGCTCCTACAACAAAGGAATGTAAGATCACAACAACAAGCAGACACATTAAAATCTGCCTTCATTAGAAATGATAGAAGTCTCTGCTTGCTAGTCAAACAAAATAGCAATAACCTTGTGAGCTCATTTTAGAAAAGCAGTTTGAAGATTATCATTGTTATCACAGGATAACCTAGCTTAGCTTAGCATACAGTAGGGTAATATAAGACTTTACTAACAGTTGATATATCAGCTGAAGTAAAAACCTTTCAGTAACACTTGATAATAACTAGACCTTACTTAGCCGTAAATAACCAATAATAAATAGTTAATTCTCAATTTTATTCATGAATAAACATTGAGTGTATTGATTTTGGGAGTAATTGGTCATTGTAGGTAAAGCATTCATAAATGTGTTAATTTATAGCTTATTAAGTATAAATCATTCTTAATGAATGTTGTTTTCAAGGTTAATTAACTTTTTATTAATAGTTCAATATGGCTCAATAAAGTGTACCGTATTTTCTGCATTATAAGGCGCATAGAATAGACGCTGCAGTAGATGCTGGAGTTACATTATGCATCCACTAGATGGAGCTGCACTAAAGAGAATGTCTATAAAACAGTCCCACTCCGGTCGGCGAGGAGAGCCTTCCGCGACTGGGCCGGGTCGTGGCTGGACGATGGTCACTCTTCTCCGTTCGCACACAGCATGTTGGTGGAGAACGTGGTGCTAAATGACCTGATTCTAGACGGTCGGTAGGTAGATAGGTCAGTCAAACTTCATTAATAGATCACAAACCAGCGTTCTGACAACTATCCCAGCATGCACCGCGCGCTTCTTCTTCTACGGGCAAAAATTAAGTCGGCGGCTGCTTACCGTAGTTGCTAGACCTGTTGTGGCTCAATATTGGTCCATATATAAGGCGCACCGGATTATAAGGCGCACTGTCGACTTTTGAGGAAATTGAAGGTTTTTAGGTGCACCTTATAGTGCGGAAAATACGGTAGTTATTATAAAGTGGCACCAAATTTTCTTAGCACCTGATGTTGATGAAACATAAATTTAGCAAGTGAGAGTGTTATCTAAATGCTTTTCCTTTTTGCTCTATTAGCTATGGCTACAGTGACATTGTCACTATTCCCATTGGTGCCACCAACATTGACATCAAGCAGAGGAGCCATCGAGGAATCAAGCATGATGGGAACTACCTGGCTGTGAAGCGAGAAAACGGAGCTTACATCCTCAATGGTAACTTTTCCGTATCCACAGTGGAGCAGGACATTCCCATACGGGGCGCTGTGCTGAAGTACAGCGGCTCCTCCACCACATTAGAGAGGATCCAGAGCTTCAGGCAGCTGAAGGAAGCCATAACCATCCAGGTCCTGGCCACAGGAGGGGATGCCAATCCCCCCAAGATCAAATATACCTTTTTCATCCCTAAGGACACAGCGTTTAGCAAATCTAAAGAGAAAAAGGGCTTGTACTTGTCTCTACATATGATCAGCGATGTGTCTGACTGGGTGCTGGGAGAGTGGTCTGAGTGCTCCAAGAGCTGTGGCTCTGGGTGGTCCAGGAGGAGCGTCGAATGCAGAGACGGTGACGGCTTCTTCTCCAGCCAATGCGACAGGGAGCTGAAGCCCACAGACATCCGGCCTTGCGGAGATGTACCGTGTCCTATCTGGCAGATGGGTCCCTGGTCTTCCTGCTCACGAACTTGCGGTCAGGGCGAGCGCCGCCGCAGTGTGTTCTGCATAGACTACACAGGGAAGACTGTTGAACCAGAGATGTGTGATCCAAATAAAATCCCAGAGCCAGCCTCTGGGCAATGTAACAACCATGACTGCTCATGAAAAACATGATTACAATGAACAGTCTTTTTTTTTTTTGTTTGGTCAGAGTGCACATACAAATCCTGGATGGGAGCACCAGCAGCAGACGTTTTGGAACAAACAGCTATAGATATTGGTGATTACCAAGAAATCCAAAAAGACCTGAACTCTACATTTTAGAGAAAAGTCTTCAACTTTCGACTAAAAAGAAATGATAAACAACGAAAATCTAAAACTGCCTTGGTTTTATTCCTAAGAATTATTTCTAAGATATGAGTATGATTGAAGGGGGTTGGATGACCTTGTATGTTGATATTCCTGGTCCCACTATAATTTGTCTTTTGTTAACATTTGACATCCACTATTAAGATTCGGAACAGTGAAGATCTACCTCAGGATGCACATGTGATGCTATGTGGAAATGCTCATTTTTGATGTAGTGTGTGCTTTCTCTAGAATGAGATTTAAAAGCAAAGAATTAACTTCAGGAATAAATTTGGCATACTTTGCCATTTGTTTTCTAGATTTAGGTGCCACTGTGAGTCCAAAACATTAGCAAGAGCCAACACAGAGTCTGTATATCCTGGAGAACTTTGATTGGACAATTAAGACATGAGGCTATGTAAGCCTTTGGGAAAAGTGTTAATCTTAATTAAAATCAGATCTGAGTGAATTCACCAAGATGATAATGTCAGTTCCTTCAAAACCATCCATTTCATACCCTTATTTATAAACCACTGCATCCATATTAACTATAGAGATGGTCATAAAAATGCTCAAATCTCATGTTTAATTTAATGTAATTTCATATCATCTCCTGAAAACTTTTCATCTGGCCATATTTTTGTAGTTATCCCTATTTTTGGTTATTAGCTTTTATGAAATGTGTCAAATTGTAGCCTCTGGTTTCCTGTTGATACAAATTATTCAAGAGAATCATAAAACTGCATTATTTTAAAATTCTTATCTTCCCACCCTCACCATCACCCTGTCGGTACAAACTCTTACACGATTGGTGAAGAATAACTAAAACTATAAAGGTACAAAAAGATTGTTCATGACTCTGTTTCTGGCAGAAAATGCAGTATACTTATAAAAGAAATAAAGTCAATGAAAAACAAAAATTCACTGTTCATAACTAGGGCTTGCACTAAAAGACTTCCACTGAATTTTTTTTTCTACAAGTTATTATATTGTGGATTATGTTTTCAGTGTTCTTCCAGTTGATTGTTTTTTTATTCATTCTGAACCTTCACCAAAGAAGACAGATGTAGTCCAAAGCCACAGAAGCTGAAATTATAAAAACATGAATTTGTTCCATTTAAACATCGTGTGAAATGTGTAATCTTTGTTACACATACAAAACATCCTCTGTCTTGTAGTTTGAGCAGCGATAAAATATTTATTGCAACAAATCTTTTTTTCAGTTCCTTTATGTCTTATAAACATGATATCTTTGTTGATTTAAAAAAGTACTGCTAATTTAATTTGCTTTCAGACTTTGTGGTCATTTCTGACTCCTGTATGTATATTTGATTTATTCATTTCTTTTGTTAACTTACAGTATAATATAAAATAAAAGAAATGGGATGTAAGGCTGATATTCCTTCAATGAAGGACAATGCTAAAGTATTGTTACAGCTTTCTAAGCTATTTATTTTTGTAAAGTTTTTACTTTGATTATGTAATTATCATGGTATATATGCTGCTGTCTTTGAATGTTCATTTTTTGTTCATTTTTTTGTTTATTCATAAAATGGTCAAATAAACACATTTATGTTAACAAATGCCTCCTCTCTGGACACGAGTAAAGGTAAAACCATACGGGTCATTTGGTAAGTTAGTTCACATTTCTTCTACTTTGTAGACAGTAAATGTACTTTCAGTTAATGAAAGGGCTTAGGAACTGTGTGTTTAAACTTTTAATCACATTTCTGCAACAAGGTCTGATGAAGTAGTATAAGAGTTTGCCAACACTAACAAAGTTTTACCAAGAATATTTTGTGTAATTTCTAGTCCAAACAATCTCTTTACACTTAAAATAATAATATCAACAAAGTGTTGTCCAACTTGAGGAAGCTGATTAACATTGCAAAAGCTCAAATAAAACCTCAACTGCGCCCACAAAAACGAGGTGCCATGGACAAAAATGAGGAAGTTCAAACCGTCTCTTCCATTCATCATAATGGGGCAAACACTGGCAAACAAGCTGGGTGCTTTGGAGCCTCTGGAGATTACTGTGCAAAGAATTCTTCATCAAATAAATGACATTATGGACAATCCGGAGGATCCTCTTTATCAGGCCGTTATAAAACAAAGTGTCTTCAGTCAGAGGCTTCTGCAGAGCTGTAGTAACAGATTGCTGCAGGAGAGCATTCCTGTTAACAGCCATGAGCATCTACAACACATTTTTAACGAAACATAAGTTACAACATTAAATTTCCCTTTGGGATAAAGTATTTTTTAAATTAATTGAATTATACAGGTAAATTTAAACCAGCAAATGTGGTAAGTTGATTTCAAGACAATGAAGTCATGAAGGAAGGACTTAAGTTATAGTTTTAGGAAACAATATGTTGAAAAAAACCATGGTGATGGAAACTGGAACAGTTGTGCTCTATAGACTGTGGAGAAGATAGAGGTGGATTGTAGCACTACTATGA